GGAAGGCTTGTGGCTCGGGCTGGCCTGGGGGTGTCCTGTTTCCTTTTGGGAAAATATGATCACCCTACTCCTGAGGGAAGCAGCTGGCACAGGTGATGGAGGAGCTCCTGAGAGCCCAGAAACTCAGGTCTTAGAGGCTGGCTGTGCAATCGCTGAACCCAAAGTGAGACTACAGGTCAAGGAGACTGGGCTTAAGGAATACAGGCCACCCAAGGAGGGCTGGGCAACCCCTGAGCCTGCTAGGAAGGAGTACAGGTCAGGGAGATCTTGAGTCAGGAACTGGAAGAGACTTTTCTTTCAAGTTTATTTGGACTTAATAAAGTGCAATTCCAGCAGGGGAATTTTGTCTTATACCTTTTGGACTATGGTGTTCTTAAGGCCCCATGTGAGAAGGGGAAACTGAGGCAGGATGCTATAGAGCCATGCTTGGGGTGCTACAGGGCAGGCACACCTGTTGACAGAAGGTCCAACAACATTAATAACAACTTAGCAGTTCCATCAATGAAGAGGCCGCACAGAGACAAGAGCTGAGACATCAAATGCTTTATCTGTTGTCAACGGTTCAACAGCAATTCCAATACGTTCACTGGTCTACAGGACACAAAACTGTTTAAATTCTTTAGGTGAGGGACTTCCCAATCTACAAAGCCTGGACATAGAGAAGTCAAGGTGCACTGGGAAACCAGGGGAATGAAGTAGCTTTTATTTAAATGCCTCTTTCTGGGATACCAATCTTAAAACATTGAGAATGCATTTAAATCCCGATTGCTGCTGCCTAGTGTCTGCTGTTTGTTCCTCTATTGAAATGGACGATGTTTAATGTGCATTGCATGTTTTGAGTATTTTGTGGGCTATTAAGCAGCAATGTGCTTCATATGGGGTGACAACTACTGACAATTAAACAGCGTAGTGTTTAATGACCAATATCAATTTTTCTAGATTATGATGTTTCATATACAGGATTATTAATCTTTTAGCCACAATATTTATTGAAAGACGAGGATAAGAAATGCAGGGAAAAGGACAAATGATTCATCCCGGAAAAAGCTGAAGAGCTGCTCATTCACTCAAATGCGCAGACTTTCAGTTGTTGATTTGTTTCAGTGCTACATTAACTTTGACCCTGGTAAAAAAGCTTTTTTTCTGAGACCTTAGTTTCACCGTAACCTTGTAATATAAACAATAATATGAAAACTGCTAAATGAGGGTTTAATCCTACCAGTGGGTCCTACTGAGAATTCAGGATGATCATTTATTAGCCCTTAACAGCCTATTTTGCTCTCTTCTGCCAGCATTTTCTGGGTACGGCAGGCAGTTTACGGTCAACATTCCTTTTTATTATATTTTTTTAAAACTTAGTTGCAGCTACAATACTAAAACTCATAACTAGTAAAACATGTCAGACTTATGAAAGTATGTTCTACATCAGGAGTTCTCAACATTTTTCTTTGAGGCCCCCCCAACATGCTATAAAAATTCTACAGCCCACCTGTGTCACAATATCTGGTTTTCTGCATATAAAAGTCAGGGTCGGCGTTTGGGGGTAGTAAGCAGGGCAATCGCCTGGGGCCCCATGCCGCACGGGCCCCCCACAAAGCTACATTGCTCAGGTTTCGGCTTCAGCCTCGGGTGGCAGGGCTCAGGTTCCAGGCTTCAACCCCATGCGTCAGGGCTTCGGCTTTCTGCCCTGGGCCCCAGTGAGCCTAATGCTGGCCCTGCTCGTAGCCCCCCAGGAGCCTCGGACCCCGGGTTGAGAACCACTGGTCTACATGACTCCATTTCAGTAAGAAAGTGGATACATTCACAAATAGGAAGGAAAAAATGTTGTATCTCCCTTCCTTAATTTTTGTGTCTTTAGATTGTAAACCATTTAGGGCAAGGATTGTGCCTCTTTGTTCTTTGTCCAGAACTAGAAATAAGAGTAGTGACTCTCTACTTAGACTGTAACCACTTTCAATGGTAAATAACATTTTTAAATACTCTAGTACACAGAACTATTTGTCTTTAAAAATTACCTTGCTTTTAATGGGTAAGTATTGTTTCAACATTGTATAATTGGGAATAGTTGCTATAATCCAGTGCTTTAGGGTACATTTCTTTGCAATGACAAGAAAAATATTATACATTCACGTCTCATTATTTTTTCTTATCTCATTTTACCCCTACATACATATCCTTATAGCTCAAGAAATATGGATGTGAAAAAGATATTCTATTAAAGAACAAACTTTGATCCTGTAATATTGATTTTTTTGTTTGTTTTTTGGCACTGACAATGTACAAAACTGAGTGTTGTCAGACCTTTTTAGATAAATGTCTGGCATAATATAACTTTCAAAGATATAGTAATATAATTTGTATAAGATAAACAATTGTTTAAGATGATCACGTGCCTTAAATGTGAGAATGGGTTTTTTACATATGGAAGAGGAGCTGTTTTACCCTCCTTTAACTTTTGATCCAGTCTATCCAATATTTTTGTATTGTTATTTTCAGTATTTTTTGCAGGCTGGGAGAGAACTTTCCCTGAACCTTTTGCTACTTTTTCTAATTGGGGTTCAGGTACCTTTTAGGATTACAGAAGAATTAGTTCAATAAAACACTTTGCCTGCAAAAGGAAATGATGGTTCATATTGCTGGCTTTATTAATTTTTTCCCACAAAGAAGCAATGCTACATGTTTTAAGGCCATCATGGCAGTCAGTCCTTTTTCTGTCCATTTTTTGTCTAGCAATTACTTCCTATAGGAAAATTAGGGTTATTGAAAGTGAGCATAGCTACAGTGCAGAGTATTTTATTTTGTATCCCTTTTTGACAGCTCCCCAATATTGTCAAAGCTTTTTTGTTTAATGAGGAGTGGGGAGTACATAAGTGGACTGTATTTCAAAACAATATGTTTCCTAAATGGGACTGATCTGCATAATATTGCTCAATTTGTGTCCAAGTAAAATTATGGTCTCCTAATATCCATTTGAATTAAATACATCAAATGAGCTGATCAGAAGTAGTTATGATGGCAAAATTAAAGTCGCCTTAATCTTGATCTAAATATAAAATTTTAAAGGGAAGCCAACGATTTTTTTTTTATTGTCTTTCAAACTGTATTATGGTTAGCGAATAGTATTGATTTCAATCTGTCACGAAGCATTTGATAAGGAATCCAGGATAGTATGGTGTCTTTGTTTGTTTGTTTTTAAATAAAGCTATTTTTTCCCATAAAGGCTGCAGGAAGTTTGGCCCATCTCCTGAGGCCAGCCTTTCTTTGTTGAATCAGTGGTTCCATATTTTTTGCATGTAATGTGGAATCTAAACTGCTAGATATTTTATCAGTCCTTGAAATCCAAAAAGGAAACTCTGAGGCTACTTTATATTCCATTCCTCTACAGCTCTCAAGGCCTCAGGCTTGTGAAAATTAAGATCAACTTTTTGTAGCAGTTGGAGGCAACAGATTATAGCCAGCACCAAATCCCTTCCTCCGCATTGTATTAAAGAAATCATGTCTCAGGTTTGGGCAAGTTCAGGATCAAGTCAGGCCCTTTACTTCAGGGCCTAATGGCAACTTCTATGTCCAGATTACATGGAGGAACAAATCTACTTTTTCATCCCCACCCCGCTTTTCTATCTGCTCCTTCATTGGTCTCAGATGGAGTCCTGCCTCTACATCCACTGCAGCTCAGGCAGCTTGGGCAGGTTCCTGCCCCCCATTTACCCCAGTGAAGGATTTTTAGTCCCTTTCTTGTCCTGTTGGGTGTGGGCCATATTCTATCAGCACACAAACCAAGATCACTTTTCAAGGAAACGCCCTTTTAATCAACAACAAGACACTTTTTAATCACACAGCTCACTTTAAATGATCTTAAGCAAAGAACCTTCCTCTGCTTTCCAGCTGGAAGGCATAACTTAGTAAACAGTATTTATTGAAAGCTTTTGTTATTATTGGGCTGGGATCTCCACAACTCCTGACAGAACTTTTTAAACACTGTTTTAGCTATGTTAATGTGGATCTCCATAGGACTCAATCAGGTTTTCTGGGCATTCTTAGCATTTATTTGGTAACAGGTTCCCTGGAAATACTCTGAGCAAGCTTTGTGTACTAAGCCATCTGACCTAGCGTTAGAAAGGACTTTCAAGGCTGTGTGGTCTGGAGATAGGCTGAGCTACAAATGAAAAGGCAGGATGTGTCATCATACCGGAGCTCATGTTGGAGACTGACGTGATTAATTTTCTCATGAAGGAGCATAATAGTGTTAGGCCGTGGTGATTAGGACTTTACAAGTGTGTCTCTGGATACTCCAGAGCATTTAATCTGAACTTTGTAGGTGCATTAATCTCAATAGCTCTCACTGGTTAAGAATAGAAGGGAGCTACTAATCAGAGTCAGGCTAGATGAAAGGCAGGCTTTTAATTCATGTGTCATTTGAAAACCATGAAGAGATAATGAATGCCTCCATGCTGTTGCCTGAAAATCATCAATTTTAGCTGGCTCTTCCTTGGAGAAATAAATGGGGTCATCCATAGGAAGAACACACACAGTATATTGTGCCCCTATTTACCAAAATTGCGTCAAGGAAAAAGTTTCTAGCATGGATATCGTTCCAGCTATAAAATAAAGATTTTGACACATTAGCATAACAAAGGTCACATTTATTTAATGCCCAGTTGTGCTGCTTCATATGGGGCCAGATTCCTTCCCTGAAATCTCCAATCTGTTAGCAGCTGTTTTGTATTATTGCTCTCTTACTGTTGAAGGCTTCTTAAACCAATTTCTGACAAGCTCTGGCATCTTTCCAACATGCATCTACATAATTGTTTGCTCTTGTTCTAGTATTCCCTTTAAGCACAGGTCTTGAATTTCACAGTCGTTATACTGATATGAAATTTATACATAAATACAAGACCTGTGGCAGTGGTTATTCAGTAATAGCTTCTGTAATGGTTTGTTTAACTTGGGATAAGACTTTGTAATGAAGACCTTTGTCCCTGTGTTTACAGAGACTCTTTGTGAATGTTTTAGTACAGGCTGGGGATTGTTAGACATTGTTTATTACTAGATAAACTGTATATTTCCCAAAACAACTGGATACACACATGAAAGATTATTAGCACATGTAATTTACTTATGTGATTAGGAAAATAGGAACTAGAAGCAGGGCCGGCGCAACCCATTAGGCGACCTAGGCGGTCGCCTAGAGTGCTACAATTTGGGGGGTGGCAACCGCAGCGGTATTTCGGCGGCGGGACCTTCCACCGCCTCTGTGGGGGGCGGCATTTCGAGGTGGGACCTTCCGCCACCTAGGGTGGCAGAAAAGCTGGCGGCGCTCCTGACTGGAAGCCTTTTAGAGGGTAACTACAGTGACTTTTCGGGTAAGCATCAATCTTGTTGGATCAGATCACAAAACTTGAGTTAAAAATAGTGACTGGGCCAATTCTGACCTCAATTCCTTTGGGGTTGCATAGGTGTAACCAAGGATGAAATTTGGCCTCATGGTTTACATTTTTAAGTATTTATTTCTCTAAGAAATATTCCTCCTCCCTGTTTCAAAATCCTTTCAATTCTACTTTCCTGGTTTTCATCTCTTAACCTTCTCTTGGATAAATTAATAGATTGAGTTATTTAAGATGCTCACTATAAGGTGTGTTTTCCAGACCTCAAACCAATCTTTTAGTACTTTTTCTGATTTTTCAACACCTTTTGTGAAGTGGACAAACTATTCCAGTAATGGTGTTACTGAAGCCATATATAGAGGTAATACCACCTTCTTACTCCTAGTTGCTATCCCCCTACTAAGGATATGTCTACACTATGAAATTAAGTCGATTTTATAGAAGTCAATTTTTTAGAATTCGATTTTATACAGTCTATTGTGTATGTCCACATTAAGCACATTAAGTCGGCGGAGTGCGTCCTCACTACCCCAGCTAGCATCGATTTACAGAGCAGTGCACTGTGGGTAGCTATCCCACAGTTCCCACAGTCTCTGCTGCCCATTGGAATTCTGGGTTAAGCTCCCAATGCCTGATGGGGCAAAAACTTTGTTGCGGGTGGTTTTGGGTACATGTCGTCAGGCCCCCCTCACTCCCTCCTTCCATGAAAGCAACAGCAGACAATCGTTTTGCGCCTTTTTTCCGGGGTCCCGTCTGCTGGACCCGCTCAGCCCGCTGCCTGCCTGGATGATCGGAACCCCAGGCAGGCAGTGGGCTGAGTGGGGATGGCGGATGGAGCCCCAGACCGGCAGCAGGCTGAGTGGCTAAGCCCGTTGCCAATCTGGGGCTTGATCCGCCGGCTCCTGCCAGCTGGGGTCCCACTCAGCCCCCGCTTAGCTGGCAGACCTCGGTGAGGTTGATCAGGGGTACCTGGACAGACATGGCAATCCTCCTCTTAGAGCACCGAATGGGAGTGACTCCAGGTCATTCTCTTCTTTAAGTTTCGTCTCATGGAGATTCAGTCCTGCCTGGAATATCATGCGAGCTGGAGGCTTCTGCCTCAGGCTGCTCGCCCAGCCGGTAGCACCGCGCGATTGCACCTACCCCAGCCTGCCCCTTGCTCCCGTGGCTCATGAAGCCTGGACAGTAGTAAGGAACAGTTCAACTTGTGGAATGACAAATCCAGAACAAAGGATTGCACTCTATGGGCCACGTTGAGATTATTTCAGAGTCCTAGATAGCAGTTAGTCCCTATAAAAGGCTTCATGAAAATTTGCCCCCGCCCCTAACAAAAATGTTAATTTATCAGAGCAGCTGAAAGGGTAAGGAACCCGGGACTATAACTTAGAGAGAGCTTCCATATTATTTAACTCATAATTGATATAATTCAAAGTAAAATTTCATAGTGTGGTCTGTTCTAAGACTAAAAATGCAGGAGGGGAGTCAGAAAAAGGAACAGTGACCTGTTTCTGCCCAGTTTCGAACTGGGGACGTTTCACACGTTAGGTGAACGTGATCACCACTACACTACAGAGCTGTTGCATGTTAGATGAATGTGATAACCACTATGCTATGGGGCTTCTCTTTTTTTGCCACAGACTTTGCCGAATGCACAGGAATGTTTTCTCTAGCTACAGAAGCTACCTAATGCAAGGGGTCGGCAACCTTTCAGAAGTGGTGTGCCGAGTCTTCATTTATTCACTTTAATTTAAGGTTTCACGTGCCAGTAATACATTTTAATGTTTTTAGAAGGTCTCTTTCTCTAAGTCTATAATATATAACTAAATTATTGTATGTAAAGTAAATAAGATTTTTAAAATGTTTAAGAAGTTTCATTTAAAATTACATTAAAATGCAGAGCCCCCCGGACCAGTGGCCAGGACCTGGGCAGTGTGAGTGCCACTGAAAATCAGCTCGTGTGCCGCCTTTGGCACACGTGCCATAGGTTGCCTACCCCTGGTCTATATCTATGGCCTTCCTGCTCACAAAGCAGTCATGCCCCCGCCCAAAGCTGACACAGTGTGGAGTGCATGTGACACAGCAACCTGGCTCGGGCAGGATCGCTAGCAAGGCATGATACTTTTTCCGTTAAGCAAACACAGCAATTCTTTCCTGGCCTCTGCCACTGGATGCCTCCATGCATTACGCTGTGCCCTATCAGTGTGGGAGGACTACATGAGCTCAGAAAACATGTCATCGCGAGTGCGGTTTTTTTGCCTTTTAATCTGCGATAACCTCAGGGATGGAGATGATAGGGGGAGCGTAGAAACATTCTGGGGGGACTGCATGGTCACCAGTGCTGCTGAGTTTGCCATGCTGGCCAAACAGGAAATGAAATTCAAAAGTTCCCGGAGCTTTTCCTGTGTACCTGGCTAGTGCATCTGAGTTCAAAGTGCTGTCCAGAGCATCACAATGGAGCACTCTGGGATAGCTCCTGGAGGCCAATACCGTCAAATTGCGTCCACACTACCCCAAATTCAACCCGGCAATGTCGATTTCAGCGCTAATCCCCTCGTCGGGGAGGAGTACAGAAAGCGATTTTAAGAGCCCTTTAAGTTGACAAAAATGGCTTTGTCATGTGGACGGGTGCAGGGTTAAATCGATTTAATGCTGCTAAGTTCGACCTAAACGCGTAGTGTAGACCAGGGCTAAAACATCTGAGAACAATGTTCACACTTAGCTACAGCATTGCATTAGGAGCTCATGTTCAGGTGCTTATCTATTATTACCCCTAAGATCTTATACATATGACCCATAAATGGAATCCCTGTCACTGGAGGTTTTTAAGGACAGGCTAGACAAACACCTGTCAGGGATGGTCTAGGTTTGCTTGGTCCTATCTCTTGAAGTCCCTTCCAGCCTTACATTTCTATGATTCTTTGTCTCTAAATATATGGCCTTGTAACTGGCTGTACTAAAATGCACGTATGACCCTCAGAGCACCCCAATGCCAGATGGCACACTGTTGTCATGATATTACATGTCACCTTTTGGTTAACTATCATTGGAAAACTAATAACCCACTGATCATTAATATTCTTGTGTGATGTATGTACAGTTAATCCACAAAGAACTTGCCAGATACGCTGGACTAAAATGTGTTTAAACCAAGTATAACAGGGGGAATTGAAAAACAGGTTTTCTCTCGACAAAGGAAAGAAGCCAACACTTCAAACCAGGTCTGCCCACATTAAGTGGGCTATTCAGTTGTATTGGAGATTGGAAGAAGAGATCATTTGCATTGTAAAAATCACCAGCTTGGAAGGAACCAGCATGGAGTCTACCATTCACAGCATGGCATCTGCACCCAGCAGGGGAAAGAAACTTTATCTGGGGATCCATTTCAAAGGTTTACTGGACTATAAAAAGGGGGGGTGAACCCCTAAGTTAGCCTTTACCTAAGGAGTCAAAGAAACCAAGTGGTTTGAGCTCTGTGTGTTGGGTCCTGGCTAAAACTCTAGCCAGCCATGCTGGGAGAGACTGTGGGAAGAAAATCTTCTTTGAACAAAAGACTTTAGTGTGAATTTTAGTCTTAGAAATATGGTTTTTTTTACTTGTGTTTGTTTGTAACCATGTTTATCCTTATTCCTTAAACCTATGTCTTTTTTATTAGTAAATTTGTTTTACTTTTACCATTAGTCAACTCAGTGCTTTGACTGAAATAGTGTTTGTTAACCGCAGTTAAGGTACAAAACTGCGGTGTATTTGTCTCTCTAAAGGAGGAGTGAACTTGATAAGATTATGTGGGCACTACAGTAAGAGGAGCTGAGCACTGCAGAGAAAGATGTCACTGAGGGACTCAGGCATTGGGGATTCACTAATTGTTACCAGCTAGGCACGGTTTGGACTGGCAGAGTCCAGGAGAGTTTGCTGAGAAGGCAGACAAGATGGCATGTCGGGGAGCTGTCACACAGCTTAGCAGCTGCAAAACTCTCACTTGCTGAGGAGTAACGCAGTGGCTCACAATTCTGGGAACTCCAGCAAATTGTCACAGCATGTCATTCAAATGAGCCCACCTGACCAAGCAATCCAGGTTAGCCTGTATAATTGTCCTGTTTCCTTCATTATTTTCTACTCCCCAGATGTTTGTCATCTACAGATTTTACTGGTAATGATTATATCTTTTTCCAGATGACTGATAAAGTTATTGAATAGCAATGGGCAAGAACAAATCCATAGAGGACCCAACTAGAAACACTCCCATTTACAATTTATTGTGATCTATTAACTAACCAGTCTTTGGCCTGGTCCACACTAACCCCCCACTTCGAACTAAGATACGCAAATTCAGCTACGTTAATAACGTAGCTGAATTCAAAGTACCTTAGTTCGAACTTACCACGGGTCCAGACGCGGCAGGCAGGCTCCCCCGTCGATGCCGCGTACTCCTCTCGCCGAGCTGGAGTACCGGCGTCGATGGCGAGCACTTCCGGGATCGATCCCAGAAGACTGATTGCTTACCGCCGGACCCGGAGGTAAGTGTAGACCTACCCTAAAATTCATTTAATATGGGCTACACTGCTTTTAGACTAGAATATAGGAATGTAGGAATTGCCATACTGGATCAGAGCTGAGGTCCATCTAGTCCAGAATCCTGTCTGATAGTGGCCATGATTAGGCTTCTTTCCTCTGAAACATCTGGAGTAGCCAGATGTGGGATAATCTGTTTCCTGAACACTAATTGTAGGGGACTGGCTTAAATCCTGAAGCACAAAGTTTAGTATCCCTTCCACAATTTGTGTTGTTAATAACTCTGAATATTCTTGATAGCGATATAATTATCCAATCCCTCTTTTACTCTTAAATGATTGGTGTCAATTAGGGCTGTCAAGCGATTAAAAAAATAATCATGATTAATCGTGCAATTAAAAAAATAATTGCGATTAATTGCATGGTTAATCGCACTGTTAAAGAATAATAAATACCATTTATTTAAATATTTTTGGATGTTTTCTACATTTTAAAATATATTGATTTCAATTACCACACAGAATACAAGTGTACAGTGCTCACTTTATATTATTATTTTTGATTACAAATATTTGCACAGTAAAAAACAAAAGAAAGTATTTTTCAATTCACCTAATACAAGTACTATAGTGCAATCTCTTTATCATGAAAGTTGAACTTATAAATGTGGAATTATGTACAAAAAAATAACTGCACTCAAAAACAAAACAATGTAAAACTTTAGAGTCTACAAATCCACTCAGTCATACTTCTTGTTCAATAAATTGCTCAGACAATAAAGTTTGTTTACATTTGCAGGAGATAATGCTGCCCACTTCTTGTTTACAATGTCACCTGAAATGAGAACAGTTGTTTGCATGGCACTGTTGTAGCTGGCGTCACAAGATATTTGTGCCAGATGCGCTAAAGATTCATATGTCCCCTCATGCTTCAACCACCCTTCCAGAGGACGTGTGTCCATGCCGATGACGGGTTCTGGTCGATAATAATCCAAAGCAGTGCGGACTGACGCATATTCATTTTCATCATCTGAGTCAGATGCCATCAGCAGAAGGTTGATTTTCTTTTTTGGTAGTTCAGTTCTATAGTTTCCGCATTGGAGTGTTGCTCTTTTAAGACTTCTGAAAGCATGGTCCACATTTCATCCCTCTCAGATTTTGGAAGGCACTTCAGAGTTTTAAACCTTGGGTTGAGTGTTGAAGCTATCTTTAGAAATCTTCTTAAAATGAACAAGTGCTGGGTCATCATCCGAGATTGCTATAACATGAAATATATGGCAGAATGTGGGTAAAACAGAGCAGGAGACGTACAATTCTCCCCCAAGGAGTTCAGTCACAAATTTAATTAACACATTTTTTTTTAACGAGCATCATCAGCATGGAATCACGTTCTCTGGAATGGTGGCCAAAGCATGAAGGATCATGCGAATATTTAGCATATCTGGCACGTAAATACCTTGCAATGCTGGCTACAAAGGTGCCATGCAAATACTTGTTCTCACTTTCAGGTGACATTATGTCCAGTAAATGTAAACAAACTTGTTTGTCGTAGCGATTGATTGAACAAGAAGTAGGACGGAGTGGACTTGTAGGCTCTAAAGTTTTACATTGTTTTGTTTTTTTGAGTGTAGTTATGTAACAAAAAAAATCTACATTTGTAAGTTGCACTTTCATGATAAAGAGATTGTACTTCAGTACTTGTATGAGGTGAATTGAAAATGATAAATCATTTTCACAGTGCATATAGTTGTATTAAAAAATAATGTGAAGTGAGTACTGTACACTCTGTATTGTGTTGTAATTGAAATTAATATATTTGAAAATGTAGAACAACATCCAAAATATTTAAACAATAGAATACCAATTGAAATTTATTAAGTGTGATTATTTTAATCATGTTTAATTTTTTTGAGTTAATCTTGTGTTAACTGTGATTAATCGACAGCCCTAGTCTCAATGATTTCCTGTGGCAATGAGTTCCACTTTTTCACACGTGATTAAAATGTTGATTATTGTTTTTAATCAGTTTTGAATTTCCCATCTTTAATTTCATTGAATGTCTCCTTGTCCTTATTTTATGAGACAGAAAGAACAAAAGTTCCCGAACTACCTTCTCTACGCCACTCATCTTATATACATAAAAAGCAACAGAGGGTCCTGTGGCACCTTTAAGACTAACAGAAGTATTGGGAGCATAAGCTTTCGTGGGTAAGAACCTCACTTCTTCATCTCCTTTCTTAGATAAACTGTTGTAATCTTTTCAATTTCTCATCAGAGTTTCCCATGCCCTTGATCATTCTCATTCCACTTCTTTGAACTCTTTCTTCTCCCCCCACCCCAACTATTCTTTTTGAGATAGGGTGATCAGTACTGCCCACAATATTCCACGAGGCCACACCGTTGATTTATATAAAGACATGGAACATTCTTTGTATTATTCCCCATCCTATTCCTTACGCATCTTAAACTACTTGTTTTTTTGACCGCAGCTGCACATTGAGCAGAGGTCTTCATTGAACGGTCTACAGTGATGCCCAGGTCCCTTTCTTCAGATGAGTTAACTTACAACCCTATATGGTCTAGGAGTAATTTATTTTTTTTCCTCCAGTGTGCATTACTTTGCATTTATGGACACTGAATTTCATTTGCCATCATGTTGCCTCTTCACCTGGTTTGTTTAGGGTGTCTCTGATGTTGCTCGTAATCTGGACCAGGGAGGACTAATCTAGATAACTTTCTCATCTGCATATTTTCCTACCTTATTGTTCAACCCCCCTTTCAAGATAATTAATAAATATTTTAAACTTGGAATCATGTGACATCCCCCTTAACCTTCTGCCACGATGAAAATTGACCATTTAATCTACCTTGCTTTCTGACTCAGTCTCTTAGCTTGTTGATAGTGACACACCTTGCCTCTCACCCCATGACTATTTTAGTTTCTTTACTAGCCTCTTCTGTAGGATCCTGTCAAAAGCCCTTTGGAAGTCCAAATAAATTGAGTCAGTCCTCCTTTATTCACTATGTTGACACATTCAAATAATTCTACTAATGAGACACTATTTTTCCTTGCAGAAACTGCTGAGGAGATCCTATCTTGAGCTTCCATGTGATGTTCTGCTTTGAATTATTATTTCAACCAGTTTGCCAGTTTATAATTCCCTGGATCACTCTAGAGCCTTTTTAAATATAGGTACAGCATTTGATACCCTTCCCATCCTCCTGAACAGTGTTTACGAGAGTGCCTATTCTTGTTAGCAGCTCAGCTACTTCCTACTTAAATTCCTGCAGAACTCTTGGATGTACCATTTGGGGTTGGTGACTTACTGCTTTTTAAATTATCACCCTACTCCAGTGCCTCCTAACACTTCAATCTCTGAGAGCACCCACCTTTATTACCAGAAAACAGCAGATCTGGGGAAGAAATCTTCCAACATTCTAGATGGTGGAGGCTTGATGCAAATCATATAACTCCTCAGATGTGTCCCTCTCTCTCAATTGTTCCCTTTAAATTTTAGTGATCCAGCAGACTCACCCATTCTTTATCAAGTATCTGTTTCTGAAGAAACTTGAAGAATTTCTTGGCTTGTTTGCTTATTTATTTTACACCTTTATTCGCTCTTTGAAATCTATTTGGGACCTTCTAATTTTCCTCTTACTGCATGTTGCAACATGCTCCCATTTTAATTGGCTTCACCACAAATACTGAAGGTTTGAATAGATTCTCAAAACTTTCCATTTAGTCATATGGGTTCACTCCTTGCCTTCCTGGTTGAGTGGTAGGGAGCTGTGTTCTTACTGAGGTGTGTGTTTGATTGTGGGTTTTCTTTCTTCTTTTTTTTTCCCCCCCTGCCTTGCTACCTCTAAGGACTTTACTTCAGTAACTTTTAACTTTAGAGCCTTTTTGACTAATCAAAACCCCAATATATAAATTAAACCACAAATTCAATTGGGGATGTTGAAATGACAATAAACACTTCAACAGTTTCTCATTTGCTTTTCCTCATTGGGTATTTGTACTGATATTCGTTAAACTCCCTCTTATCCTAAGTGAAGTATTTGAATTGAAGAATGGATGGAAGGAGACCTTCCTACTTTTGGTAGCTATCATTTTCTAACTACTGCTAACTATCTCTGCAAGGTATGGCATTCATCCCTCATTCCCATAGGCACTGCTGTAGAATCATTTATTTTATTCCTGAAATGCACCCAACTGTGTCATAAACCCTAGATACAGTTGTTATGATCATCAGTGGGGCTCAAAACTGGACCTTTGACACCAAGGCCCCAATTCAGCAAGGTACCTGAGCACCTAACTTTGACCATGTAAATTGCAATTGAACTAATTTATTGTTTAAAGTTAGTCATGTACTTAAATACTTTGCTGAACTGCAGCCCAAATGCACAAATTTATACCAGGTGAGCCAACGACTAACTCCATTATTAGCTGTGTCAAGGTTTATCTTTGCCAGAGCCAGTCATATGTCCTAAGCCAATGTATTACATACTCCCTGGAATAAACGCAAAACTAGCTTGTCTAATGAGAACCATGCTGTCTGTGGGTCATTACATTCAATTTCAAAGCATTTCCATGTAGAGGTGTAGGTTTGTTAGATACAAACACTTAATGCCAAAACCAACATTTGTAAAAACAATCCATAAGGCAAAAAACCCAGTATGATTAAAAATCAGATACAATCTAGTACTACAAATACTATAATCCTTTAATCATAATTGTTTGGTTTTTGCATAGAATCACTACAAGATAATAATAGTGTTTGCATGGTTTACCTGTGCATTTCCATACGTTAACATCCCGGTAAAGTGTTTTACCTTTAAATTACTGATATATACTCAACCTTAATGACACCTTAAATCAGGGGTAATCAATTGTATGCTGGGGCATGCTGGCCACTTCTGAGAGCGGCGTGGGGCTGCAGCAGGCATAAAGCCTGCCTTAGTGACAGGCAGCCCAGCTGCGGCTGGAGATCGCGATTGACTGGGAGAGTCCCTGGGATCAACCAGTTGATTGCAATCGATGGGTTGGTGTCCACTAGTCTAGACCATCAGAATGGTTTATAGATTTAAAAATTTCTGAAGACATCATTTAAGACCAGCTAAAAACCATCAATATCCACCAAAGATCCCAGTTACTATTTTTATGATAGTTCCTGCTTCCGATCTTTGTGATTCACTCTGAACTTAAAAGGAAAAAGAATAGGCAATTTTAATCACTTTAAAAATAATAATTACTTACTGTGGTTTATTATAAGCCCCTTGGAAACTTGAAACTGAAATCTGTTTCCTCCCATAGAGTATGCACATTAGTTTGCTACTGTTGTAGGGTTGCCCACAGCTGGAGAGATTCTGGTGGTATTCATTTTATTTTTTGGTGTTTTAAATAGTATTGAATTTTTTACCTAACGAAAACATACTAATATTTCTATGGCCTTAACAAAATATTACACATGCAAAACCAACAATCCAATACAGTATCTTGGAAAAGTTTTATAAAGACACATTTGCCCTACTCTGTTTCTTATGCCTGTTTGCAATGTGTAATACCTTCCATCCAAGTACAGTATTTCAAAGTATATAAACATTAAGAAGTTAAGCCTCACAACAGCCCTATGAGTTGTGTAATTAACAACCTCTCTGTTAGTTTCCTTATCTAAAACACGAGGATAAGGCCTAAATTTTCAAGCGTCCACTAGTTACAAGTGCCTCAATTTTTGGGTGCCTAACTTTGTATGCCTCTAGCCTAGGGGTTCTCAAACTTCATTGCACAATGAATACTAGACAGTATTTGGTCCTGCCATGCGGGCAGGGGACTGGACTCGATGACCTCTCGAGGTCCCTTCCAGTCCTAGAATATATGAATCTATGAATGACCCCCTTCTGACAAAAAAATTACTACAGGACGCCGGGAGGGGGGACTGAAGCCTGAGTCTATCCAAGCCCTGCCACCCTGGGGGGATTCAGCCCCAGGCAGGGAGGCTGTAACATGAGCCCTGCCGCCCAGGGCTGAAGCCTTCGAGCTTGGGCTTTGGCCCTGGGCCCCAGCAAGTCTCAGCCAGCCCTGGTGGACCCCATTAAAACAGGGTCACGACCCACTTTGGGGTCTCAACCCACAGTTTGAGAACCGCTGGTCTAGCCTCACTTTCAGAGGAACTGCACCACCCGCAGATCTCACTTCTATATTTGCAGGTGCTGAGCACCTCTGAAAAAGTGCCCCCAAAACAGAGGTACCTGTAGTCAGTAGACATTTGAAAATCTGGTCCTAAGTATCTTGCTCAAGGTCATAGAGGAAATGTTAGGTAACAGCCAAGAACAGAACCTGCTGACTCTCAATCCAGTGCTTTAACTACAAGATAATCCTTCCTCAAATTACACTATTAACTGCCAAATACACTTGAAAAGCAGGTTCCCATTGATGCATCCTAGGAAAAAGTGTTGTGCTCACTCTGCTAGAGGCCTGTAATCCTGAAATGTATTTTAAAGTCAAGTTTCCAGTACTGAGGTTCTTTACACCTTCCTTTAAGGAGATTCAAAAATTTTGATAGGTAAAAATGAATAGTTATGAAGTGAATTGTCTTTGAAGGAAAAAAAGCAATTTCATAAGTGTGCAGTTTTTCTTGGTTTCTATAACCCTATTTTTAGAACATCTAGTCTTTCATTTTGTTCAGCAAGCAAGTCAACCACAACTACTTCTTGTTGTATTTGAACAAAATGGAAAATGACTGTTTGCAAAGTAGTCAGACTTTATTAATTCCTTCCTTTGTTCTTACAGATCTATTACACACTACAATGCAATTTCCAAAAGGGTTAAATAAACCTGTGTGCAAAGAGCCAGCATAATACAAACCCTCAAACTTTGGCTTAACTTCAGTGATATTTTGTCCTTAGCAATGCATCACACTATAACCAGATGGCAAGAGCTATGCCCCTGCAAAGAGAAGAGCTCATCTACTGAGGCACTCTGTTAACAGTTTAAAAACGGCACAAAGCTGATAACACCTGCTGACTTCATTTTGCAGATGCAGCTTGTTAAACTACCAGAATATGGGAGAAGGGCATAAGCCTTACAGCAGACAGTGAGATCCTGTAGGACAGCCTAGCTTAGGGAGGAAACATGTTCTGCAGTTATTTGAATGATCCACTTCATAGGATTTGGCTTTATGGGTAAGTATGACCTTGCACAGCATGTGCAGATTTTAGCCCCATCCACAAAAATACTTAAGCACAAGCTTAAAGGTAAGAATGCACTGAAAGTGTTTTGCTAGACTGGGACATTTATTTGGAGCAGAACGGGAACATCACTTGCTCATGGTCTCTAGATGTTTGACTGCCAGAGCAGGGCAGACAAATCCACACACCGTTCAGGTGTACAAATATCCATATTTGGGGTATTTACATGCTAAAATCCCAACTTGTACATTTTTGAAGATATGGCCCACAATGCAACCCAAAGTCCTGTACAGTGGTAGTCACAGAAATTAATATTAAAAATATACTGAAGAAATTATTCAT